GGGAAAATGAACTGATGCCAGGGGCTTAAGTGGAGAGCAAATGTTTTGAGAATGATGAGGGCAATGAATGTACAAATGTGCTTTATGCAATTGATGTATGTATGGATTGTGATAAGAATTGTATGAGCCCCTAATAAAAATGATTTTTTTAAAAAACAAAACAAAATCCATCAATTTGCTACTTACAAGAAACACACTTTACAAACAAAGGCATGAATAGATTAAAAACCAGAGGCTGGACAAAAGCATGCCAAGCCAACAGCTACCAAAGAAAACAGGGGTAGCAATATTAATCTCTGAGAAGATAGACTTCAAGGCAAACAACATAATCAGAGATATGAACGGTCACGACATAAAGATCAAGAGAACAATAGCTCAGGAACCCATAACTATAATAAACATGTGTACCCAATGAAAGGCCCTTAAAATATGTCAATCAATCCTCACAGAATTGAAAAAGGATATGGACACATTGACAATATAACAGGAGACTTCAATAAACCACTCTCAAGGAGAGAAAGGATGTCAAGAAAAACCAAAGACACTAAAAAACGACATAACACAAGCAATCAAAACAAGCTCATAAGTGGGAACCCATCACATGGTTGTACATATAGCCCATCCCCCAGGGGGACAAATAACAGCACTGTGGGGAGACAACGGACAGTGTAAGACCCGAAATAACAATAACAATCTATAATTAATGAAGGGTTCACGAAGGTGGGAGGGTAGGGGAGAGGGAGAAAAAAGAGGAGCTGATACTAAGGGCTCAAGTAGAAAGAATGTGTCTTGGAAATGTTGATGGCAACATATGTACAAGTGTGCTTAATACAATTGAATGATGGGTTGTCATACGATTTGTAAGAGCCCCCAAATAATATGATTCAGGAAAAGTAATAATAAAATGAGCTCACAGACATACAGAATGCTTCATCCATCAAAACTACAGTACACATTCTTCTCCAACACACATGGAACATTCTCAAGAATAGAGCACATACTAGTCCCGAAACCATGACTCAACGAAAACAAAAAACAAAAAAAAAAAACTGAGATCCTTCAATGAATCTTCTCAGACCACAAAGCATAAAATTAGAAATCAACGGTAAAATGAGCAAAAACATAGAGACAAACACATGGAGATTGAACAACATAATACTCAAAAACAACAGGGTAAGCAAGCAAATTAATGAAGAAATTTAAAAGTTCTTTGAGTCAAATGAGAATGATAACAGCATATCAAAACCTTTGGGGACACAGCGAAAGCAGTAATCAGAGGGCAATTTATAGATATCAACACACCTGAAAAAGAGGAGAAATCTAAAGTCAACACCCTAACACAACACCTCTAAGAACTAGAACAAGGACAACAACACTATCCCTCCAGCAAAGGAAGGAATGAGATCATAAGAATCAACATAGAAATAAACAATATAGGGGGAAAAATGTTAAGGAGCTGATACCAAGGGCTCAAGTAGAAAGCAAATGTTTTGAGAATGATGATGGCAACAAATGTACAAATGTGCTTGACACAATGGATGGATGGATGGATTGTGATAAGAGTTGTACAAGCTCCCAATACAATGATTTTTTAAAAAAAGGAAAACATCAACAAGACAAGAAGCTGGTTCTTTTTAAAAAATTAACAAAATAGAGCACTGGCAAACTTAAAGGAAAAAAAGAAAATGTGCACATACCCAGAATAAGAAATGAAAACCGTGAAATAATAACAGAGCCAAGTGAATTAAAAAGAATAACAACACACTACTATGAAAAACTGTATTCGGCGGGGGCCGGAAGTGCCGCGGGCCGCCGCCGCCGCCCGGGTTTGGGGCCCAGCCGCTTACGTAAGTCGTCCCGGGCCCTGAGACTCCGGGATGCGCGGAGCCCAGGACGCCCGCCCGCGGCTGCCGCCGGCTCCCGCCCAAGGCGTGAATGACAGAGGCGGGCCGTCCAGCGCCCTCAGCGAGGTCAGTCTGCGCCTCCTGTGCCAGGATGACATAGACACCGTGAAGCACCTCTGCGGAGACTGGTTCCCATCGAGTACCCAGACTCATGGTATCGTGACATCACGTCCAACAAGAAGTTCTTTTCCCTGGCGGCGACGTACAGAGGCGCCATCGTGGGAATGATCGTAGCTGAGATAAAAAGTAGGACCAAGATACACAAAGAGGATGGAGATATTCTAGCCTCCAACTTCTCTGTTGACACCCAAGTTGCGTACATCCTGAGTCTGGGCGTGGTGAAGGAGTTCCGTAAGCACGGCATAGGTTCCCTTTTCCTTGAAAGTTTGAAGGATCACATTTCTACCACAGCCCAGGACCACTGCAAAGCCATCTACCTGCATGTCCTTACCACCAACAACACAGCAATAAACTTCTACGAGAACCGGGATTTTAAGTAGCACCACTACCTCCCCTACTACTACTCCATCCGGGGGGTCCTCAAGGATGGCTTCACCTACGTCCTCTACATCAACGGTGGCCACCCTCCATGGACAATCTTGGACTACATCCAGCACCTGGGCTCTGCGCTAGCCAACCTGAGCCCCTGCTCCATCCCACAGAGACTCTACCGCCAGGCCCACAGCCTGCTCTGCAGCTTTCTGCCCTGGCCCAGCATCTCAGCCAAGGGCGGCATCCAGTACAGCCGAACCATGTGAGGCCACCTGCCAGTGAACCTGCCTGTTGAGCCTGCCCTCCTGGCCATCTAACACCCCCGAGGTTCCTGGGGAAGAGCCCATCAGCCTGCTTCAGCTGCAGGCCTGGTGCTACGCGGGCTCCGGAGAGGCCTGGGTGAGGCCAGAGTGTGTGGCTACTGACAGGTATGCCTGAGCTGGTGGCAGGGAATGGAGCAGGCCTGAGTGAGACTCGAACCAAAGAAACCCAGCAAGCCAGCTGCCGTCGAGTTCCTTCTGGCTCACAGCATCCTGCTGGGGTCCACCCATGTCCAGCTGTGCTCCCGAGGGTGATCACTGGCTGGTTTGGGGGAGTAGGTAGCCATTCCCAATGGTATAGTCAGGAATCGGGGCCCTTAGCATAAGTCCCAGAGTGCCAGATGGTCATGTTGAATGGGCACTGGAACCAGGTTGTACCTGGCTCTGCCTCGACTCCCAGAAACCAGGGAAAAGCAGCGAGTGGCCAGCGAGCCTGTTGTTGGCTCTGGCAGGAACCTGGCCTTTCTATTCTGAAAAAAAAAAAAAGAAAAACTGTATTCAAACAAATTTGACAATCTAGAATAGACAGATACCTAAAAACAAATCACCCACTCAAATTAATGCAGAGATAAAAAAAAAAAATTCAAGAGGCCCATAACAAAAGAAGATATAGAGCAGGTCATTAAGAAACTACCAACCAAAAAGACCAGATGATTTCACAGGGAAATTCTACCAAATGTTCAAAGATCAGACATGAATACTATACAAACTCTTCCAGACATAGAGAAAGACAACAAACTCACAAACTCATTCTACAAAGCCAACATCACACTGATACTGAAACCAGGCAAACACCCGAAAAAGGCTGAAAATTATAGCCCACCATCCCTCATAAACATAGACGCTGAAATCCTCAACAAAATCCTGGCCAATAGAATACAGCAGAAGATAAAAAATAATAATAACAATTACCAAAAATATACAGAACTCTACAAAAACTCAATAAAAAAATATCAAGAGACCCAATTACGAAATGGGAAAAAGACCTGAACAGAGTTCACCGAAAATGAAATGCAAATGGCTAACAAACACATGAAAAAATGCTCACAATCACTAGCCATCTGGGAGATGCAAATTAAAACCACAATGAGACACCACTTTACACCCACAATGCTAGCCCAAATCAAAAAAAGAGAACACAACAAATGCTGGAGAGGATGTGGAGAGATGAACTCGTACACACTGCTGGTAGACCTGTAAATTGGAAAACGATATGGCAATACTTAAAGCAACTGGAAATTGAAATGCCATATAGTCCAGGACTACCACTAGTAGCATAGACCCCACAGAAGTAAGACACAATAAAGTGGAGGTGTGCTCTCCCATGTTCATAGCAGCACAGTTCACAGCTCAAATGCCCAACAATTGAAGAACGGATAAAGAAATTATGGCACATAGACACAATGGAATACTATGCATCCCTGAAAGCAGCGATGAAAGCATGAACGCATGAAAGGGCCTGCAAACCATGATGCTGAGTGGAGGAGGTCAACCACAAAAGGACAAGTGTTTATGAGTCCACTACTATAAGAAGAAACACCAATGAAACAAATCTTAGGAACCAATTCCTGAACAAAAGGAGAGAAGGCTACCTACTAACCATGATCCGTACATCATCTCCCACGTGTGCACTTCACAAGAGGCGACATGAAAGAGACCCCCACATTGCCTGGGGTCACTCCTTCAAGAGAGGTGAACTGGGAGATAACCACTCACTTGAGGCTATGCAACATCAAAACAAGGCTGGGATGGCCGGCCCCACTATGATACATGACGCCCCTCACTGACCCATAGCCCTACAGGGGACAATATCAGAGACAGTGTGGGAATTGCACCTGATCTGATCCCGCTACGCTGAGGAAAAACACTAAGGGGGTGCAACAGAACAGCAAGGGCACGGAGCAGCGAGGTCCCCAGGGAATGCTGAAGGTGGACTTTGGGGTCAGGGCATGGTACCCCAACAACTGGACTGGAAAACACTCCTAAATGCCAACAAACAGTTTTTGAACTAACTACAAGCTTTTCTTTCTTGTGTTTTGTTTTGTTTTTGTCATTGGTTGATTGTTTTGTTGTATATAGTTGCTTGGTTTTGCTCTGTCTTGTTTTTGGGCATGTTATTATCTCCGCAAGTCTGTCTAAGTAAGATAGGCTGGATGAACAATTTGGAGGAGAAAACAATGGGACCGACAGTTCCAGGGGGACATGGGAGAGGGGGATGTAGGGGGAAAGGTAGTGGTGTTAACAAACCCAAGGACAAGGAAAAACAAGTGATCCAAAATCAGTAGTGAGGAGGGTGGCGGAGGCCTGTTAGGGCATGATCAAGGGTAATGGAACCAAGAGGAATTACTGAAACCCAAATGAAGACTGAGCATGATAGTGGGACAAGAAGAAAGTCAAAGGAAATAGAGGAAAGAGCTAGGGGGCAAA